GAAGGAAATGGAGAAGAAAAAGGACAAGCAGAAGATGAAAAGATGGAGGAAAAGGAGAAAGGGGAGGAAGAAGAAGGATTTAACATTCCTATATGACAATAATACTCTGGAGTTGAGTAGCTGGTGTTCTCTTTGAAGAAGTTAGTGGTCTCCAGTGTGTCATAGTCCCCATCATTCCTTATCATTTTCCTGACATGAAAGACAAGTGTCAGCCCCTGTCAGCTGTCACACATTGTTGTTTTTCTCATATATCTCAAAGGTGTCTCTATCATAATTGGAAAAGTGAAGGATAATCTAAGAGAAACTCAGGTTTCAATAAAGCCAGGATATAGCACAAACTCTGTGGAAGTGAAAACTATTTCTACACAACTAATAGTCAAAGAAAGTAACTTATACCTGGGCTGCTTCTACTCGTTTATATTACCAACCTGTTCCCTGAAAACATTTGGATTTGCAACACTTGGCCTTGACTGGAAATCCCATGAAAGAGAATCAATATTTTTCCATTATTATTTTTTTTACCATATCTTTCATAACTGAAACAAAGTAGGTCCTCAATACGTGTTTATAAAATAAACACAGTTAAACACTAGGGAAGACAAGTTTTTAGAAATAACTGCAATTGCCTAGTGGTAAGTGCTTTAAAAGAAGTATATACAGGATACAGTGCAAACACTAGCAACTTTACCTCCCCACCTAGCATGACATATAATAAAGTTGAGCAAAAAGGCAACTACGTCTCCTTGCCCGTTACTCTCCACGGCACTCCCACACTAAATGTAAGCTTCTATAGCAGGAGTTAGTAAATGTTTTCTAAAATGGGCCAGAGAGTAAATATTTTAGGTTCCTCAGACAATACCATTTCTGTAGCAACAGTTAAACCCTGTCATTGAAGTGCAAAAGCAGCCATAGACAATATGGAAACAAACATGGCTATGTTCCAGGGAAACTATATTTACAAGCAGTGAGCCATATTTGGCCCGTGGGCCATAGTTTGCTGAACATGGTTCTAGAGGCTAGGAACTATTTTTATGATCTTGCAGTTTTTGAATTGGCTTGAACTATTTGGAGAATTTTATTCTTTTGATTTTGGAGTCTGATCTTTGCACAAATACACACAAAGAGAGAGAAAGAGAAGGAGAGAGGGCAGGAGAAAGAACAAGATATGGAGCAATGATAACTGACACTAACCACTTTAAGAAAAATGCTGCTGCAGAAATGGAAGCAGAATGGAACATCTTTTTTATACAGCTTCTTAATGAAAACAAAAATCTCTGGATTTTCACAATTAAAGTTCTGACCTTAATACTACCAGTTGGTCTTAAAAAGATCCAAGGGAATATGAGTTTAGAAACATGAGAACTAGTGTAGAGAAAATTGTCCTGATTTTTTTCTGATGTGAACCCCAGGAATGATATTTTCTAAGATCATGTTGCTTCCCTAAATTATAGTTTAGATACTTGAGGTAGAAAAGAAAAGAGTAACAGACATCATTTATATATATATGTAAAAGTATTAACATGTCTACATTCTCTTAATGGGAAAACAAAGAAGCTCTTCCGTTTAAAGGAGCACTACACACTGGGGTCAGTTGGGGGGAAATAGGGGAGGGACGGTGGCGGGTGGGAAGCTGGGGAGAGATAGCAAGGGGAGAAATGCCAGATGTAGGTGATGGGGAGGAAGGCAGCAAATCACACTGCCACGTGTGTTCCTATGCAACAATTTTGCATGTTCTTCACATGTACCCCAAAACCTAAAATGCAATAAAATAAATAAATGGGAAAAAAAAAAAGAAAGAAAATACCTTAACACAGAAATTGTTTTTTAGTCCTGAATGTTGTTGATGGGGCTACAAATGACTGTTCTATGATTAAAAACCAAAATATGGAAAGAAGACAGGGAAAACAGATAGAGTAACTAATGAGGAAGGGCATAGGAGAAAAAGAGAAATAAATAATAACATATATAGAAGAAAACAGAAGAGGAAGAGACCAATGAGCCTGCAATAGAGAAGTGGCAGACTCTCAGTAATTCCTGCAAGGTCAGGCAGAGATTTCAAAGTCATAAACAATCAAAGTCTACTTCACGGTACTTTTTAAAATTCATTCTATAGTAATTTTACAGAAGTAAAGGCATTTGGTTTTTTTCAATTCTATGAATCAGAAAATCTATTCTAAAATCCAGACCAAATATAATTGAGGTAGTATTATCTTGGTGTGTTTGGGTCCCTCGAAATCTGTGCTGGTGTGCATTGCATCTCCATCATTTGAGACCTCTGTTGTGGGAAGAATCATACTGCATTTGCCAATGAAAGAACATATATGGGCTATAAGATGGGCCAGAAATTTCTAAAACTGTGTAGACTGCCATTTAGCATGACTGGATTTCAGTGAGCGACTTAGAAGCTGTCTCTCGAAAGTGTGAAGGAAATGTCAATAGAAACTTCAGAGGAAACTCCCATGTTCTGCACTCTGAAACCAGTGTTGAATCAAGATGGTGAGAGATTAATATGTGTCTTATTTTTCCTGTCATTTTGCTTCCTTGCTCCAAGGTGGTCACCAGGTCTTATAGCTTTTCTTCTTAGAGGAGTTCGTGTTGTATAGCCAAAGAAGAATTTGCCTGAAGATTGTGCATCTTTCTGGATTCTTTCTTCCTAAAGGCCTAAACTCATCTGGGGAGTTATGCTAGGTCTTTGGGCTAAGAAGAGAAGAAAATAAGGTGAATATGTCAAGGTAAAGCTTCTTCGAAGACTATAATGTGGACTGAGATCTGTGTGTTCTGCAAGGAGGTTCTACAAAAGCGGGGAGATGGCAGACACCTGAAAGGAATAACTGTGTTGTGTATGTGGAGAGACAGGACACTAAGTGCCTGGGCACCCAGCCTCACAAAGACACAGAACAAAAGTAGAAGATCCCCTCCCCATCCAGGGCTGTTGTGAGCTTGAGCAAAAATCCATCTGAACCACAAACATGAAGATCCACCTTTTACCCACCTATCCTAAATAGCACCTTTGCCCAATCCAGAAACAGAAAAAAATCCAATAATTGTTGAAATTGAACTTTCAGCCAGTATAATGAGATGAAGGCTTTTATCAGATTAAATTTGATTTAGAGACGTATACACATACCTCGAAGATACTGTGGGTTCTGTTCCTGCTCACCATAATAAAGTAAATATTGCAATAAAACAAGTCGCATCAATGTTTTGGTTTTCCAGTACATGCAAAAGTTATATTTACACTATACTGTAGTCTACTAAGTACACACATTAACTAAAAATATTTTGTAGCTAAAAAATATTTTGTAGCTATAAAAATATTTTGTAGCTAAAAAATCATGAGCCTTCAGTGCGCTGTGATCTTTTTGCTGGAGGATTGTCTTGCCTACATATTGATAGCTGATGACTAATCACTGCGGTGGTTGCTGAAGATTCAGGTGGCGGTGGCAATTTCTTAGATTAAGACAACAATGAAACTTACCATGCTGATTGACTTTTTCTTTCAGGAAAGATTTCTCTGTAGCATACATTACAGTTTGATAGCATTTTACCCATAGTAAAACTTCTTTCAAAATTTAAGCCAATATTCTCAAACCCTACTGCTGCTTTGCCAAGTTTATAAAATATTCTAAATCCTTTGTTGTTATTTTCAACAATGTTCACAGCACTGTCACCAGAAATAGATTCCTTCTATTTGTTTTCTCATCAATAAGAAGCAGCTCCTCATTTATTAATGCTTTCTCATGAGATTGTACCAATTCAATCAAATCTTCAGGCCCTACTTCTAATTCTAATTCTCTTGCTATTTCCACCATATCTGCAGTTACTTCCTCCACCAGAGTCTCGAACCCCCAAAAAGTCATCCATGAGGGCTGGAATCAACTTCTTCCATATTTCTCTTAATGTTAATATTTTGACCTCCTCCCATAAATCACAAATGTTCTTAATGACATCTAGAATACTAAATCCTTTCCAGAAGGCTTTCCATTTACTTTACCCAGATCTATCAGATAAATCACAATGTATGACAGTTATAGCCTTATGAAACATATGTCTTAAATAAAAAGACTTAAAAGTCAATATTACTTTTTGATCCATGGGCTGCAGAATGCATGTTGTATTAGCAGGTCTGAAAACATTATTCCCTTGTACACCTCCATCAGAGCTCTTGGGCAACCAGATACATTGTCAATGAGCAGTAGTATTTTGAAAGAAGCCTCTTTTTCTGAGCAGTAGATTTCAATAATGGCCTTTAAATATTTAGTAAATCATACCATAAACAGATGGACTTCTATGCAGGCTTTGTAGTTCCATTTCTAGGTATACGCAAAGCAGATCTAGCACAATTTTTAAAGGTACTAGGATTTTTTAAATGATCGAAGGGCATTTGCTTTAACTTAAAGTCACCGACTGCATTACCCCTTAATAAGAGTCAGCCTGTCCTTTGAAGTTTTGAAGCTAGGCATTGCCTTTTTCTCCTCTCTAGTCATAAAAGTCCTATATGGCATCACCTCTGAAAGAAGGCTATTTTGTCTACATGGAAAGTCTGTTGTTTAGTATAGCCACCTCATCAATGATCTTAACTAGATATCCTGGATAATCTGCTGCAGCTTCCGTATCAGCACTTGCTGCCTCATCTTGCACTTTCATGTTACACCTTTTCTCAAACATCGCATACCAACCTCTCCTAGCTTTCAACTTTTCTTGTGTAGCGTCTTCATCCCACTCTGCCTTCAAAAGATTGAAGAGTTAGGACATTGCTCTGGGTTAAGTTTAGACTGACAGGTAACCTGTGCCTGATTTAATCTTCTACCCAGACCACTAAAACTTTCCCCATACCAGCAATACGACTGTTTCGCTTTCTTATCATTTTGTTCACTGGAGTAGCACTATTAATTTCCTTTAAGAATTATTCCTTTACATTCATAACTTGGTTAACTGTTGGCATAAGAAGACTAGTTTTCAGCCTATCTCAGCTTTTGACATGCCTTCCTCAGTAAGTTTTATCACACCTAGCTTTTGATTTAAAGTCAGAGATGTATAGCTCTTCCTTTCACTTGAACACATATTGGCCATTATAGGGTCAATAACTGGCCTGATTTCAATATTGTTGTACCTCAAGAAACAGGGAGGTCTGAAGAGAAGGAGAAGATGGAGAAATGGACAGTCAGTAAAGCAGTCAGAACATATACAGCACTGATGCATTAAATTCACCAAATTATATGGGTTCCTATATAAGTTCATGGCATCCTAAAGCAAATACAATAGCAACATGAAAGAGTGGGGGTCACAAATCATCATAACAGATACAATAACAGTACAAACATTTGAAATGCTGCAAGAATTACCAAAATGTGGCATAGAGACAAAAAGTGAACTCATGCTGTTGAAAAAATAGTGCCCATAAACTTACTCAACAAAAGGATGCCACAAAGCTTCAATTTGTTTTTTTTAAAAATGCAAAACACAATATCTGAGAAGTACAAAAACGTGAAATGCAAAAATCGAGGTATGCCAGTAAAAGAAATATCTTACACCTAAGTGTTGGGGTGGAATAAAATTCACGGCTTCTGTAGCACTTTTTAATGAGTCACTTTAATTTTATATGGTTCAGTCACATCTCACATTAAATACAAAGTAGAATCATTCTTAGTCTCACCCTCCTCCACTCCTAGCTCATGAGCTGCAATGTGTCAGACACTGTTCTAAGCACTTCACTTCAACCCCATGGGGAGATATTATTATTGCCCCATATTACAGGTGAGGAAACTGAGGCACAGAGCGATTCAATGACTTACGAAGGTCCCACAGCTTGTGAGCAAGAACTGGGACTCAAAGCCAGGCAATGTGACTACAGAGGCCACATTCTTCACCAGCCAGCTGTCTCCTGGCTCTGCAGGCTGGGTAGGGCCTCTTGCCTTCAGACAAGTGAAATCTAAATGATGCAAAATAAGAACTTCCTTGTGCCCTCCATGTCCTGATGTAGCCATATGATAGCAGATGTGAAAACTCTGAACATGAAAACAAAATAAGCCTCCATGAATGGCTGTTGCTGAACTGAACATTTTCCTTGACAATCTCCAAAAGCAGAAACTTAAAACCTCTTTCTACAATAGTGCCTATTCCAGTGCTTTTACATTATAAAAAAGGTGTGCTGAGGTCCAACCAACCACCTTTGGTTAGCATTCCCCTGAGATAGAGTAAGCCTCCTCAAAACTTCACACCCTGTATGCCCCTGGTAGGCATGTGGGTGTGGCTACAGCAAGGACTGCAACCCACCAGGAGTGGTTGGGTCAGTAGGCTGTCATAGGTGGGAAATGGAAAGGGGAAGTGGATGTTCACTATCTTGTCTATGAAGCTTTACACCCGCTGTCCTCCAGCCTAAGAGGATGACCAAAGTTTGCCCAATACTTGGGCAGGAAGGGAGTACAAGGTGGAATGTTGTAAAAAAGAAAAGATCTGATTAAAATCCCACAGCATATTCTCAGTCTAATCTCCTTTTATCTCGGCAACCCGATTTCAGCAATTATGTTTAACACTTAAATGCCTCCTCTTGTTCATAACTTTGATGATTCTCACATGGGCTGTAGACTGTTTACTCTAATTGTGTTCTTATTAACATTCCCATTTTGAATGACTAAAAATAAGACTTTGACCTTCCAAAGTGAATGACTGCTTACCGCCCTTCTTTGGGGAGAAATTAACTTTGGAAATATCTGTAAAGTATGTACATGGTGATATGTCCATTCGTTTTCCTTCCTATTTGTTTCATTAAAGTGGAGTTTCCTATTTATTTTCTGGAAGAGATGCAGGGACAAAGGATCACCAGCCTCTAAAGAAAATGTGAGATCATATTGACAAACTGAAAAGGTTTCAGCAAGAAAATTCTAAAGTCACAATTCATTCTTACAGACCTACTGATCTAGTGCTTTTATTTTAGGAATGAGATTAAATACCAGATGTAAAGTATTTTTCTTAATATATGCCAGCCATTAAAAATGACATCATTTAAGTTCAATTTTTTTATATAAAGAGAAATTTTCATTTGATGATTTTAGGAGGAAGAAAAACCACAAGATTACACATTTCTGCAAAAAAGAAAAAGAGAGAGGGAGAAATCCTTCTTTGGAATGTGAAACATGAAGAAGCAGGACAATGAGATTTTGTTTCCTATACAAATTGAAGATTAAATATGAATTTTAAAACATTTAAATTTGAATGAAAACAATCAAAGATCAAAAGAGCTATTTATAAACTTGAAAAACCTAACGCAACACATCCCCTGTACCTTTACGAATGTGCATGAGAAGTGGTGTGTCAGTGTTGAATAATACTTGTATACATTTTATTGATAATTGTCTTTAGCTTGACATACAGAAGGAAACATAATAGTTGTAGAGAACTGCAGCAATATATTTAGTTATTTTAAACCTCTACTTCAATCACCTTTCATAAAGTAAAAGAAATGAAAGTAACTTTGTAAAATATACAAAGGAAAGTAAACTTATTGATGTATGCTAGGAGACCTAAGCCAATTTGTTTCATCCAGACACACATAATTCTGACTGAAGACCAGCTTCTATTTTCTTGGATGAGAAGTCACTCCCTCCCTTTCGAGCTCTAGAAGAATATCATGATCTCTGATCATGACTCACTATTGTTAAAACTGAGGCAATATGCCCACCTACCCCTTGAATATGAAAGGAAAGAAAAGTAAATAATAATAACCAGCTTCCAAGCACAGACTTTTTATGTCTTTTCAGAGCTCCATGAATCTTCAAAAATTAATGACAATGGATAAGCTTCCTCAATGATTTTGCAGGATGCTTCTGGCACATTTCTGCAAGGTAAAGTGATTTATTTTGCCCTCAGTGGAGGAAAAATGGAAGGGCTTAGAAGAATAAACTAGCTTGAAAATAAATGTATAAAATGCTGCAAAAATAACACACAAAAAATTTGACCTATTCTCAATCTTAATCATCTCATAATCTAAAGGAGAATTAAACTTATTTATTTCTACAACTGAGGTCATTTTTGCTGAAATTCCAAAGCCAGTCATTTTACAAAAGGAACAAATCACATAGATTCTGTACTGTTCAGAGTAAATAATATGGATTAAACAAGAGGAAGAAAAAATGAAAATGAAGTTCAGGTGAAAAAAATAATTTCAATGAATATATTCTCTACCATTTTAACAATAAATTCTCAACATCTAAATGATAAAAAGTATTCTGTAAAAATAATTCTTAAATCCATAGCTGACTGATGAAAATTATAAATAATCAATAATATTTCAAAAGTTAAAGATCCCTAAGACATATACTGGTAATTATTCACAGATAAGCTATGAGTAATCTTTCGGTCCATTACAAACTAAATACTGATAAACAGTAAAATTTATTTAATCATTCTTTTATTCAAAAAAATATTTATTAGGGGACTACTATGTCCTAAGCATTCTTTGAAACACTGGAGATACAGTAGTGAACAAGATGGGAAAAAAAAAAAACTCAGATAAAAGGTGTAAGAATAGAGTTTATACTCCAGTAAAGAAAAATAAAAAATGAACAAAATAAATAAAACATACGTATGCTAGATGGTGATAAGTACTAGGGAGAAACAATGTAGGAAAGAATAATGGGGAGTGCTAGGGATGGCAAGATTTGAGGATGAGTGAAGAGAAACAAATTGAATAATTAAGGCCCCACTAAAAAGGTAGCATTTTTGCAAAGACCTAAGAAAGTAAGAGAATAAGACATGATGCTGCCTGCAGCAAAAGCATTTCAGGTAGAAGGAACAGCAAGTTCAAAGATCCTGACACAGGGGTATGGTTGACATTTTCAAAAAACATCAAGAAATGCAGTAAGCCTGGAGCAACATGAGGCAGAAGAAAGTAACAACAATATCACAGAGGTAAGGGAATAGGATCAAGATCAGGGTACATTCTTTTAGGCCATGGTAAGAATTTTGGCTTTTTTCCTAAGTTAGAAAGCTTCTGAAAGAGTTTAAAAAGAACGACATGATCTGACATTTTAGCAGGACCACTTTAGTTACCTCGTTAAGAAATACGAACAAGAAAAAGAGATAGCAGCAGGGAGACTGGATAGAAGACTATTATGGTTATCCAAATAAAACATGATGATGGCTGATGCCTGAGTGGAAGCAGTAAAGGTGATGACAAGTGATCAGGTGTTGGATGATCATAGGATTTACTGATTGGATGTAGGGGGAATGGAAAGAAATATGAGAAAGAGAAATTCACTATGACACCAACGATTTTGGCTGAGCATAATCAGCCAAATGATTGACTCTAATTCTTCACGTTTTCTAGAATCCATGCCCTCCCCCTAGCCTCACTGTGGGCAGCATCTCTTTTTCCACTTCTTAAATATGAACTCAACCACAGACTTAACTTTGGCCAATGACATGTGTATAAAAGTGACTGCCTGCTCGTTCTGAGCCCAGGACTTAAAAGGCCCTGCACATTATTTCTTGCTCTCTTACATTTGTACCATCAGCATGAAAAGAATATACCCTAACCAGCTTTCTTGTTATAGGAAGATAAGAAACAGTTGGGAGAGAGCTGTTCAAGTGACCAACAGACCTGCAGTCAGAAGTAGAACTGCCTTGGCCTCGGAAGCTTGAAGCAGAGGTGCCTGGCCAAACCCAGATCAGCCAAATTTAAATCAACTTCAGACACATAAGTAATAATTAGTGATTGTTGTTTTAAGTCTTTGAGGATTGGAGTGGTTTGTTATGATGCAATAGCTAGCTGATACACTGAGCAACTTATAGGATAATGTTATATTTACTAAAATAAGGAATTCTGTAGAAAGAACAAGTTTGAGGGAGAAAACAGGATTTTAGCCTTGGACATAACAAATTTAAAATGTTAAAGAGGAGACTGAATAGAAATTGCAGATATGGAGAAAGAGGTATGGGCTAAAGTATAAATGTAAGAGTCATAAGAATTTAGATGGTATTTAAAGCCATGGGACTAGTTAAGATCTTCTAGGAAGTGAATGTAGATAAAGAACAGATGAAATCTAAACCTTGAGACACTTCAATGAGATGATGTTAGGAAAATGAGAAAGAACCAGCAAAAGAGA